TGCACTTGGCATGTGCGTGGYTTTYTCCACCACTTTCAAAGGAGTGGCCCGTACATGGTACAGGAACCTCGCGCCTGAATCAATAAGAAGTTGGGCRCAATTCGTGCAAGTCTTCMCTTCTCACTTCGTCAYGAGCAAGCGGTGCCYGAGGACCCAAGAGAGACTCCTTGGCATAGTCCAGAAGGAAGGAGAATCCATYYGGAGTTACATCAAGCGGTTCAATGAYRCTTGTTTACAGATACMCGACCYGGACCCCGYAGTTTGGCCTACCGTGGCCAAGAGAGGCATCACGGACAAAGACTTCAAGTGGCACGTGGTTGTTAATTGGCCCAAGATGGTAACCAAGTTCCTCAAGCTCGCGGACCAGTTTATAGAGACAGAGGAGGAAATCAACCAGAAGGGTGAGCAGATCCCTGAGAAAAGAAAAAGGGAAGTCAAGTCCTCGAYCCAGGGAGACAGCAAGAAGAAAAAAGATCTAGCTCGGGGGGCAAGGCCAGGTCAGCMTATCCGAGCTCCYCCAACAGAGAGGAGAAACTACACGCCCCTGAACRCAAAGCAGGCCGAGATCCTTATGGCGATCAAGGACACCCCGTATGTGAAGTGGCCACCCCGACTGAGAGGGGACCCTAATGTAAGGAATAAAAATTTGTATTGTAGCTTCCATAAAGATCACGGTCACAGTACCGAGAGTTGTAAAAACCTCTACGACGAGATAGAGGAGCTCATCCGTCGCAGATACTTAAGAAACTTTGTACAGAATAATAATAATAAAGTTGGTCGGCAGGGGGAGCAAAGCAGAGATGCTCCCGAATACAGCAGGCAAGCAAAGTAGCCGTAGAGGCAGCCCCCGGAAGAGAGACCAGTTCGGGGGACTATCCATGTGATCATCAGAGGATCGATCATCGCGGGTTGCACTTCGGCTGCAGCTCGGACGTCAGGTCGCGAGGTCGAAAGGGAAGACCATAACCCCCCAAAGCGGCCAAGGACGGATGACCCGATTTTCTTCATGGAGGACGACACGCGCGGGGTCCACTACCCCCACGATGATGCACTCGTCGTGAAGATAAGGATCAACGACTTCGAAGTCAAGCGTGTCATCGTCGACTCCGGCAGTTCAGCGGATATTCTTTTCAAGGTAGCGTTCGACAAGCTTCAGCTCCAAGAAGGCGATCTCAAGCCCGCAAATACTCCCTTGGTGGGCTTCAGCGGAGAGGAAGTCAGGCCCCTGGGGAGAATCACTGTAGCTGTGGAGGTCGGCACTTGACTTAGTATAGTGAGGCTCAACCATGACTTCTTGGTGGTCACGACTCCCTCCCCGTACAATGCCATAATAGGTCGGCCCATCACCCACGCCCTACGTGCGATGGTCTCCACCTACTATCTGGCGATGAAGTTCCCTACGGACTTCGAAGTTGGGGTGGCGCGAGGCAATCAGCGTGAGTCTCGCAAAGGCTACGTTGCCACCCTCAAAGGGAAAACCAAGGTTGCAGACGACCTCAAGCTCGAACGACCTGCGGAGCAGTGCGAGGAGCGAGCTGCACCCACAAAAGAGACCGTCTCCGTCCCAACTTCTACAAAGAACCCAGCTCGGACACTCCAGATCGGCGCTTCGATCGAGGAGCCTCTGCAATCCCAACTAGTAAGTTTTTTACTTAAAAATTTAGATGTTTTTGCATGGTCCCTGGCAGAGATGCCCGTCAGAGACCCTAGCATCATCACTCACAAGCTGAATACTGATCCTATAGTTAGGCCCATTAGACAGAAGAAACGCAACTTAGCCCCAGAGCGCTAGAGAGTAGTTGACGAGGAGGTTGGGAAGGTCCTCGTAGTCGACTTTATCAGGGAAGTCCATTACCCGAGCTGGGTGTCCAACCCCATTCTGGTAAAAAAGACTAATGGCAAATGGCGCATGTGCGTCGATTATACCGACCTGAACCGAGCTTGCCCAAAGGACTGTTTCCCACTTCCTAGGAATGACCGTCTGGTAGACGCGACCTCAGGGCATGAGTTGGTTAGTTTCTTAGACGCCTATTCGGGCTACAACCAGATAAGGATGGATTCAACTGACGAAGAAAAGACAACCTTCATAATAGAGCTCGGCCTGTAGTGCTACAAGGTCATGCCCTTCGGACTGAAAAATGTCGAGGCAACATTCCAAAGACTTGTAAATAAATTGTTTAAGCTTGATCGACAAAAAAATAGAATGCTATGTAGACGACATGGTCATCAAAACTTTGTTTTCAAATGATTTAATAAAAGATTTTTATTCTGTCTTTGAAATTTTGGGTAAATTTAATATGAAGTTAAACCCGAACAAGTGTGTTTTCGATGTCACCTCGGGTAAATTCCTAGGGTACATCGTTAACCGGCGTGGCATTGAGGCCAACCCGGATAAAATTAAGGTCATCCTAGATATGAGACCACCCCGGAAATTGAAGGAGGTTCAGAGGTTGAATGGCCGCATAACCACTCTGAGCCGCTTCATGTCTGAGTCAGCAGATCGCTACCTGCCTTTCTTTAAGGCGATTAAAAGCAAAGGCTTTGAATGGACCGAAGAATGCCAGCTCACATTTGAGGAGCTCAAAAAGTACATCGCCAGTATCCCGGTCTTAACCCGACCCGAGGATGGTGATGTTTTGGAGTTGTACCTCTCTACAAGTGACGAGGTGGTCAGCTCGACACTAATAAGAGAGGTAGATAGGGTCCAACGACCTATCTACTATGTTAGCAAAGTGTTGTAGGGAGCAGAGACAAGATATCCAGAGATCGAAAAGTTGGCGTATGCTCTACTTATTACAGCTCGGAARCTTCGCCCGTATTTYCAAGCTCATACTGTCGTCGTCCTCACCAGCAAGCCTCTGARGCAAGTCTTACTYAAGCCCRAGGTCTYTGGTAGGTTGACGAAGTGGGCCATCGAACTCAGMATGTACGACCTCCAGTAAAAGCCGYGAATTGCTATCAAKGCTCAAGCCTTAGCCAACTTTGTCGCGGAATGCACTTTCAGCACCGAAGTCCCCAGGTCGGTCAAGCCCGAGGCTCCCAGGCCAAATGAGCCCGAGGTTCCTAGGCCGATTTAGCTTGAGCACCCTGAGGTAGCAGCCAGTGTGGCTTTTCTCCTAGTTAGATCGAACCCGAGCTAGGATGAGGAGCCCTGGATCCTTCACGTAGATGGCTCGTGCAACCAATAGGGTAGCGGAGCTGGAATCATTCTGTATGGGCCAAGCAAGGTGAAACTGGAGTATGCGCTACGCTTTGAGTTTGCGGTGTCCAACAATGAAGCGGAGTACGAGGCGTTACTAGCCAGGCTTGATCTAGCAAACAAAGTGAAAGCCAAACACATCGTCATCTGCAGTGATTCTCAGCTTGTGGTCAACCAAGTTACAGGTGAATACGAAGCCCGCGAGCCAACTATGATCGCCTACCCAGCCAATGTAAGAGAGGCTCTGCTCAACTTCCTACACACTTCATCAAGCAAATCCCGAGATCAGAGAACGCTGAGGCCGAGTTGGATTGATCCCATCACGAGTTGGAAAGCTGAGGTGAGTGGGAGAATGGTGAAATCGCGGATGAAAGCTTCAAGGCTAAAGAACGTCTTCAACACATTACCAATCCAGTTGCAGTGAATTCTGACCCAATTTTGACCTCGATGCAGTGCGAATATATCAAAACTCAAATAGGAAAGTTGTAGAACGTTTTTTTATCTTTCTAACACATCTTGAATCATCTCAATCTGAGTCCGGATGAGAGAGTTATGCTCAATCTACCACACGACGCCGAAACTGTATAAAATGATCCGATTAGCCTTGTTTCTCACCTAATGCCTCGTTTCGTGCCCTAAACCAAAATATGAGAATTATGAGTGCATTTAGGCATAAAATAAATATAAAAGACTAAATATTAAAGGAGAAAAAAATGATATTTTTCGTTCTCATCAAATCCCCCACACTTAAAACCTTACCCATCCTCGGGCAAGACAGAACTTAAGCAAACTAAGCAAACTATCCTACCAAAATTAAACTCAATCTTCCTTCATCTTTTTCCACAAATATTCTAGGTTAACTGATGCAAACCGTTAAATCAACACGACCAAGTTATACACGACTCATCCATCCACCAATCCAATTTTTTTTTTTACTACTACAAACCAGGTAGTAAATTAGGGAAAACATTTTTTTTATATCTCCTCTTTTTTTTTTCTTGGTGGAAGTGAGTGCATTTCATGCTCCATCTCACTTTTAGGACTTAGTCAGTGGGTGCATTTTATGCTCCACCCCACTATTAGGATTACTTGGTCAATAGGTGCATTTTATGCTCCGTCCTACTGATTGAATTGCTGGTTAGTAGGTGCATTTTATGCTCCATCCTACTATTGAATTGCTTGATTGGTAGGTGCATTTTATGCTCTGTCCTACCAATTGAATTGCTTGGTAAAATATTTACCCTATTTACTTAAACCTGGATTTAGGACTAGCTTAAAAAGGGAGTGGCCTCAGGTGAATCCTGTATTCCCTAATCATATTTCTTGACCAAATTCACAAGAGTTGTCCTAGAATACTATTTCAATTGATTCCAAAAGAGTTGAGTTTTTTTTTTTCCAACAAATGTAGAAAAACACAACCTAAATTAAATTTTGAAACGCAACCTAAATCCTAAATCCCCTCCTCCCACACTTAAAACTTACATTGTCCCCAATGTAAGGTGAAAGGCAAATAAAATGTGGAAATAACTAAACTATAAATGCAAAAACAAGAAGAGAAAAAAAAAAAGAAAAACAAACTTCCCTGTTTTTAATCATCATAAACTAGATCCTCTAACTCTTGTGGTTGCAACTTCTGGTGCTTAACCCTTTCATCCATCATGGGTGGGTTCAGCCTTCTTTGTGGTTGACAGGAAGGTTTTGCTTGCTCTTCAAGTAAGATGTGATGCATGCATGTAGACGGGCTGATTCCTTTGATATCCGCAATCATCCAATCGATAGTCGTCTTATGCTCCTTGAGAACCTACACAAGCTGCTCTTCTTGTGGTGTGCTAAGGCTACTAGAGATGATCACTGGTAATGTCTCTCCGTCTCCAAGGAATACGTGCTTGAGGTGATTAGGGAGAGGCTTCAATTCTGGAATGTGGGCCTGCAAAATAGAGGGTAAATGTCTCCTGTCAGAAATTGGCAATATAACATAAGGAGCATTACCTGACTGTTGTAAGTCTGGAGAATCATTCAATGCTGCAACAGTTTTCTGCAAATCAGCATTGAGCATTGGCTCCTCTTTCTCAAGATGTTTACTAATGGAGACTTCTAGTCCATCATTTTCATTAAGTTTGAAGATTTCCTGTGCCAAAGAATCAATCGCATCAACAGAACAAATAGGATTATCATCAGTTAAATATTAAACTTAACAATCTTACCATCAAATTCCATGGTGAGTGTGCCACTATAAACATCTATCTTAGTCTTGGATGTTTTTAAGAATGGTCTTCCTAGCAGAATAAGAGTGGTTTGATCACCATTATCCATATCAAGCACATAAAAATCCGTAGGAAAAACCAAATCATTTACTTTCACAAGAACATCCTCAACTATACCCTTAGGATAGGCATTCGATCTATCAGCCAATTGAATCACTACACCAGTCTTATTCAAAGGTCCAAGTTCCATAGAAGCATATATAGAATATGGCATGACATTAATAGAAGCTCCTAAGTTTAACATGGCCTTTTCAATTCTAGTGTTACCTATCATGCCGGGGATAGTAAACATACCTGGATCCTTGTACTTCGTAGGGAGTTTTTTAATGACTGTAGAAATATTCTCCCCTACTCTCACCTTCTCACATCCTTTTAGTTTCTGTTTCCTTTTATGTTTACATAATTCTTTCAAGAATTTAGCATAATAAGGAATTTGTTTAAGAGCATTAAAAAGGGGAATATTTGCCTCGTATCTACGGAAAGTTTCATAAAAATTTTTGAATTGCTCATCTTTCCTAGAACCTACTAAAGCATTAGGAAAAGGAGGTACCGGTTTATAATCAAAAAGAGGAGGAAACTTACGCTTGGGTACTTCATCACCATCAAGAGTGATGTCTTTCTCCATTTCTTGGTACCATTTGTGTTCAATCTCGTGATTTGATTGGTCAGAGCCTTTCAATAATTATGCATTTTCGGCAACATACTTTTTTTTTCCTTCTGGTTAATGGATAATGACTTCCAAAACAGTTAATAGTTTCTTGCGTAATTGGTTGGTGCTAGTTAGTTAGTTTCACAAAAATGAGTGCGATAGAGGCATTGAATCACAAGAGAAAAGAGATCTAACACCCAGTTTGCTGTTATTAATTGGCCTTATTTCCTTTACTTCTGCAATTAATTTTGGTTGAGATGGCAATTTGACCTGTCCCCGTCGAGCTCTACCTTCTTCCATCCTAGTCAGGACGGGTATTTTTGACCCTGATGAACCCTAGGGATCGGGGACACTATGGGGCGGGGATGGTATTTGTCTACCCAGCCCTAAACTCGCTCTGACTTTATTAATTATATAATATGTGCTAATATATTATATTATATTATATAATATAATATAGTTTTAAATAGGTTTCAAAAGAATAAAAAATAAACAAAGTTGTAAGTATGCAAATAGGAATGATCAGGGCAGGGTAGGGCATAGGGCATTTGAATACGGGGTTAGGGATGGGACATGCAAAACTTGGCCCCACTCCGTTACCATTCCTAAGAGTTGGTTCAAAACTTGGAGTTTTTTTTTTTATTTTTTTTGTAAGTTCAAAACTCAGAGTCAAGAGAGGGATAGGTTGGGTATACAATTACAAATTAACTCAAAATTAAAAGGGGATAGATTTGATATCCACATTACCTATGTCAAGTCGTCGGGCACAAATTTATTAGGTGGTGTTTTTCTTTTTCGCTTTTTTAGAGTTCAGTCCATATCAAAATTTATTTATTAATTCTCCAAATGTGTTTATCCTCACCCCTATAAAAAGCATCCCCGTGAATTGGGAATCTTCCCCCCAATGGATTTCCCAATTAACTCAAAGGACCCAATAAGTCAATGTGATTAAAAAGGATCTCATCAGCCCCATGTTGATATTAAACGAATGATAAAAAAAGGTAAAAAGGGTTGATGAAAAAATAGCAGTTAAACAAGATTTATTGAACAATTTTTTTATATATGTTGCATCATGGCTTGATGAAAAAGCAGAGGTTAAACAAAACCCCCATGACATAGAAACCATTGGAGGTCAAATAGAGGTTAAACAAGATTTCTTCTTGAGCATCTTGCGGTTGAGGTAAAAATAGAGATTAAAACAGGGCAATATCTATCGGAAAGTGATTTCCAAAGGTAGTGAAATGTTAGGGTTTTACATTGCTGATCTCCCCCCAAAGAAACTGCTCCATGTTCTTCACTTGCTTATTTTATTGGACTCGCTCAAGATATTGTGTTTTCATGATTTCATCTGAGAAATAGTCAATGGAACGTCGAAAATAGAAGACCTGGGCTCTAAAAAACTGCTTTGTATAGTAATTCTTCTGCACATTCTATTGAATTCACCCAAGATATTATGTGCTTTGATCAGAGAAATAGTTTATAGAATTTCAATTGAAGACCTTGGTAAGAGAATGGTTAGGTTTTGTAAGGGGGAAAGTTGGTTGATAGGATTTTGATTCCCATTGGCCAAAAATCTCATGTTCTTTTTTCAGATTTATGCATGTGGTGACCAAGTAAAGTTTATTTTTTTGAGTATAGGTGATACTTATCTTCTAGGTGGATAAATAATTTTTCCACTAGGGAAGGGGGGAGGGAAGTTAAATGGGACAAAAACACCCCTTTTAATAATTAATTTTTACTCTCTAATGAATTTAATACTCCGATAGGATCATAGAACTAAATGGAGAACGAAAGATAACACAGAACTGCCATTAAATTCCTGTCATTGGTCCAGTAAATGTGGTGGTGGCCGATCATGAAGTGTAACTATACTAGCCTACAGACACCTGTATGTTTTATTTTATTTTGATATTTTATCTTTTCAGATTTCATGGGGCTACACCATGAGAGGTAGCAGTTCCCTAAACCCATAACCCCCAACCTGGGTGAAGAAAGAGAATTGATCCCCAATCTCTCCTACCACCCTACTGCCACCTTCTTTTTTATCACTAAATATGCTTATATAAGTATTTTATCACTAGTATGTTTGTTTATATAAGTATGGGCTTCCTAACCAAATCAGAACTTTTTTTTTCCAGAAAATATATAAATCGAATATTGAAGGAATGAGAGATCCATCGAATGGACACCCAAACTATGCGGAATAAAGGGGCGAATTTCAAAAATTTTTCTCTCCCTTCAACTGGGAATCGCATTCCCTATTTAGAAAATCATATTTTCAATGATCAATCTTGAACCATAAACTGAACCAGATCTGAACCAAAAGGAGTAGGAGAGAAGTATACCTGATATAGAGAAATATTATCTCTAAATGAAGGTGTTCACGCTTAAGGAAGGATCCAAAGACTGCTCCCACTGAAGATGGCGCAGTGTAGGATGGAGTAGAATCAGCATTGTTCTTCTCCAAGAACTTTGTCCTTCGCAAGAAACAGTAGGATGGCACATGAGCACAACTTCCTATCAATCCTTTCACAAAGAAATGATATCAAGATCGAATCTTGACTTCTCCCACAACTGGAGATCGAACTGGCAAACTGGGCGGGAAGAACAAGGAGGCGGCAAGAAAGAATTCTGTAGGATTGCTTAATTCTTCTTTCTGTGATTTCAGCTCTTTTAGAGGATGTGAGTATGTGTGTCTTCTAAAGGCTGTCGCCCCCACCGTCTTTTGTAACCCTAAAAGATCAGCTCCTAATCCAATTAAGAGTTGCTGATCCAAATCATATTTGGATCAGACATCCTTTTAGGTGATAAGGATAAACCCTTATCTT